GCAATACTAAGCAAAAAGAACAAATCTCGAGACATCACATTACCCAACTTCAAATTATACTATGAGGCTACAGTTACCAAAACAGTATGCTACTGGTATAAAATAGGCCAATGGAACAGAACAGAGAACTCAGAAATAAAGCCAAATACTCACAGCCAACTGATCTTCAACAAAGTAAACAAAAACATAAAGTGGGGAAAGGACACCCTATTCAAAAAATGGTGTTGAAAAAACTAGCAAGCCACATGTAGAAAAATGGAAGTGGATCCTCATCTCTCGCCTTATACAAAAATCAACTCAAGATGGATCAAAGAGTTAAATCTAAGACCTGAAAACATAAAAATTATAGAATATCACTTCAGAAAAACTCTTTCAGACGCTGGTTTAGGCAAGGAAGTCATAACTAAGAACCCAAATGCAACAAAAACAAAAATAAACCGTACCTAATTAAACTAAAAAGCTTCTGTACAGCAAAAGAAATAATCAGCAAACAGACAACCCACAAAGTGGGAGAAAATATTTGCAAACTATGCATTAGACAAAGGACTAATGTCCAGAATCTACAAGGAACTCACACAAATCAGTAAGAAAAAAACAATCCCATCAGAAAGTGGACAAAGGACATGAATAGACAATTCTCAAAAGAAGACATACAAACAGCTAATAAACCTATGAAAAAAATGCTCAACATCACTAATTATCAGGAAAATGCAAATTAAAACCACAATGAGATAGCACTTTACTCCTGCAAGAATGGCCATAATTAAAAATTCAAAAAATAATAGATGGTAGTGTGGATGTGGTGAAAAGGGAACACTTTTACACTGCTGTTGGGAATGTAAACTAGTACAACCACTATGGAAAACAGTAAGGAGATTCCTTAAAGAACTGAAGGCAGAACTACCATTCGATCCAGCAATCCCACTACTGGGTATCTACCCAAAGAAAAGTAAGTCATTACATGAAAAAGACATGTGCATACACATGTGTATAGCAGCACAATTTGCAATTGCAAAAATAAGGAACCAACCTAAATGCCCACCAATGAATGAGTGGATAAAGAAAATGTGGTATATATACACCATGGAGTACTACTCAGCCATAAAACAGAAAGCAATAATGGCTTTTGCAGCAACTTGGATGGAGCTAGAGGGCATTATTCTAAGTGAAGTAACTCAGGAATGGAAAACCAAATATCGTATGTTCTCACTTATAAGTGGGAACTAAGCTATGAGGATGCCAAGGTATAAGAATGATATAAAGGACTTTGGGGACTCAAGGGGATAAAAGACTACATACTGGATACAGTGTAACACTGCTCGGGTGACAGGTATACCAAAATCTCAGAACTCACCACTAAAAAACTTATCCATGTAGGCCAGGCACAGTGGCTCACATCTGTAATCCCAGCACTCTGGGAGGCCGAGGCGGGCGGATCACGAGGTCAGGAGATCAAGACCATCCTGGCTAACACAGTGAAACTCCGTCTCTACTAAAAATACACAAAAAATTAGCTGGGCGTGGCGGCGGGCGCCTGTAGTCCCAGCTACTTGGAGGCTGAGGCAGGAGAATGGCATGAATTCGGGAGGTGGAGCTTGCAGTGAGCCGAGATCACACCACTGCACTCCAGCCTAGACGACAGAGTGAGACTCCATCTCAAAAAAACAAACAAAAAAAAGTATCCATGCAACCAAAAACCACCTGTACCCCAAAAACTATTGAAATAAAAAAACAAAAAATGAAAAGAAAGAATTATCTGCCCCATAGTGTTAACACTGCTGAGGCTGAGAAACCCTATACCACGGTAAGTTCCTCCCATTCACTTTTCATCTTTTAATACAGCTTTATGAGGCACTTATTATTATTATTCTACTTTACAGATGAGAAAACTGAGGGTTAGGGAAGTTAATTAAGTTAACCAGGTTACAAAGTTATAAAGTGGAGGGGCAGAATGTTGTATCTCTACCATCTGATTCTATGAGTTTATTGAGTTTCCTTCCAAAATTTAACACGCACACAAAAAGCATGTATTTTCTCCTTTTGAGGATACCAAACATTGTTCTGCAACTGGAATTTTTTTACATTACACATCTTTGACATCTCTCTATATTAAATTTATAGGTTTATATCATTCTTAACAACAAAGTATTCTAAAAAAATGTTTAATTCACCAGTATCCAACTTACGCACACTAATGTTGCTTTTAAAATTTACTAGCATGGTGGCTCATGCTGGTGATCCCTGCACTTTGGGAGGCTGAGACAGGAGGATGGCTTAAGCCCAGGAGTTCAAGACTAGCCTGGGGAACAAAGTGAGACCCCGTGTCTTAAAAAAATTAAAAAATTAACCAGGTGTGGTGGTACATGACTGTGGTCCCAGCTACACAGGAGGCTGAGGCAGGAGGAAGGCTGGAGCTCAGGAGGTCATGGCTGCAAGGAGCCAAGATCACACCACTGCCTCCAGCTTAGGCAACAGAGTGAGACCCTGTCTCAAAAAAACAAGAACAAAAACAAACAAAAATGCTGTGGCCGGGCACAGTGAGTCACACCTGTAATTCCAGCACTTTGGGAGGCTGAGGTGGGAGGATCACCTTAGTCCAGGAATTCAAGACTAGCCTAAGAAACACAGCAAGACCCGATCTCTCCAATAAAAAAATTTTTTAAACAATTAGCCAGGCATGGTGACACAAGCCTGTAATCCCAACTACCTGGGTGGCTGAGATAGGAGGACAGGTTGAGCCCAGAAAGTTGAGGCTGTTGTGAGCCATGATCGAGTCACTACACTCTAGCCTGGGTGACAGAGCGAGACACCAAAAATAAATAAATAAATAAAATTTAAAACTATAATAAAACAATGCTGTGATGCATGTTCGGTTTGCAAGAATATTTGCAGAATTTTTTTTTTTTTTCCTGAGATAGAGTCTCACTCTGTCGCCAGACTGGAGTAGAGTGGTGGGATCTCGGCTCACTGCAACCTCCGACTCCCCGGTTCAAGCAATTCTCCTGCTTCAGCCTCCCAAGTAGCTGGGATTACAGGCACACGCCACCACGTCCAGCTAATTTTTTATTTTTACTAGCGACTGCGTTTTACCATGTTGGGCAGGATGGTCTCGATCTCCTGACCTCATGATCCGCCCGCCTTGGTCTCCCAAAGTGCTGGGATTACAGGCATGAGCCACCGCTCCCAGCGGAATTAGTAGTTAAAAGTGGAAGTGCTGAGACAAGGATATGTGCAACGTAAATTTTTATAAATGTTACCAAATTATCCCTCCAAAAAGACTGCATTAACCTATATATTTCTATGGCTTTGCCCACACTAGGATTTATCAGATTGAATACTCAAGGCTGGGCACAGTGGCTCACGCCTGTGATCCCAGCACTTTGGGGGAGCGAAGGTGGGTGGATCACGAGGTCAGGAGTTCAAGACCAGCCTGGCCAATATGGTGAAACCCCATCTCTACTAAAAAATACAAAAATTAGCCTGCCATGGTGGCGCGCGCCTATGGTCCCAGGTACTCAGGGAGGCTGAGGCAGGAGAATCGCTGGAACCCAGGAGACGGAGGTTGCAGTGAGCCGAGATCGCGCCACTGCACTCCAGCCTGGCAGACAGAGCGAAACTCCGTCTAAAAAAAAAAAAAAAAAAAAAAAACAAAGAAAAGAAAAACACTTCAAAATCTGATAGGTGAAAAATATATAACACTGTTTTTAAAGTTGCATTTCTGTTGTTGCAAGTAATGAGCATTTTTCCATACCTTCATTGGCTATTTACTTTTCTTTTTTCTGTAAATTATCTTTTTTCATTTTCTATTGAGTTTTTCATCCTTTTCCAAGTGTTTTGTAAAAGCTCCTTGCAAAATATGGAAAACAGACTCAAATCAAATGCCAATCCCAATCATACTAAAAAATACTGCACTCACCAAAAAATTGCTTGTTGTCTTCATAGTATTTGTTTCCATATTTGTCTTCCCCCACTAATGTACCAACCTTCACATCATTTGTCCTGTGAATACCCAAAAGAAAACAGACATTTTAGAATGATTCTTAGTTCAAAACATAAACGGAAATAAAGTGAGAGTAACAACTTTCAGACACAAGGGCTACTGTATCAACTAGCAAAACGAAGTGCTGGGGATGGGAAAAGATGAATTGACAACTGATGTGCCCAAATTACACTAAAAATATAAAGGTAGTCCCTTCAGATTACAGGACTACTTGTATCTACTATCCCTCAGCCAGGAGGCACTGGAGTTAGTAAAACCTTCAGGAAATCAAAAAGCCAAAGTATTTCATCTTACAACGATACAAAGGTCTCTAGGCTCTTTCATTCCACTCTGGGTCTCCATTTAGGTTTCTGCGAAACTATACTGCTCCTGGGATCAGTGAATGTCAGGACGACCATTATTATTACCTTCAACGCCTTACAGAGAGGGTACGGCAGTGCAAGGATAAAAAAAACTTTACCAAGGTCACTGAGTTAATGTCTTGTAATGCTCATTACTCTCCAGGGCATGGGAAAAGAGTGCAGCCCAGATGCCCCTGCCTCCGTGTCACAGCTCTGACTCTACAGATAGCTTCGGTCTTGTCTCGGGGAGATACGGAACAGAGACCAGCCTTGGGGTGGCAAGGCAGAGATTGGGGCGCTTGTCCTTGACAAGAGCTGTGGATTCTCCAAAGTGACCCGAGCCTGGGCCCCCTTCCAATAAATCAGCCAGCGAAAGTCCAGCCCCAGAGGCCAAGAGCATGGCTCTGGCCGCCTACCTGAACAAAGCCCGTAGATAGCCTCGGAGACCGCCGTGGCCGGTGAACTGCTGCAGCCCGCGTCTCAGGACCTGCACTAACTCCATCTTGCCCCGCAGGCCCCGCCTCCCGGGTGCGCCAAGCAAAACCCACCGGCTGGAAGCCGCCACTCAGCCGCAGGAAGCCCAAGCCCAGAAGGTTCCCACGCGAACGCCAGACGCTGTGGCTCTGCGCCTGCGCAGAGCTAGGTCTTTCCTACGCTGTCTTGTTCTGGCTTCCCAAGTAGGCAGAATTGGTTTCCCCTGGAAGCAAAGGTACCTTAAACTTTAGAGTTTTCAGAGGTTAAATGTAGAAGGCCGGCATATGCTGGAAAGCTCACGTAGACTAGGCTTCCCCACACGGGAATTCCTCCTTTGGGAATTTCAGTTTCCTTATCTAAAAATAATTGGCTTTGGTGGGCGCGATGGCTCACTCGTGTAATCCCAGCACTTTGGGAGGTCGGGTTGGAAGGATCGCTTGAGCCCAGGAGTTCAAGACCAGCCTCGCCAACACAGTGAGAACTCTGTCTCTACCAAAAAAAAAAAAAAAAAAAAGAAACATTAGCTGGATGTGGTGGCGCGTGCCCATAGTCCCAGCTACTCGGTAGGCTGAGGCTGAGATGGGAGCATCGATTGAGCCTAAATAATTTCAATGTTACTTCATTTGTTAACCACAGTTCTACAAAGAGAAACCTCCCTTCAACTATTTGATTCCTGAGATACAATTAATATAAGAAAGGCAGTATAGGTGCTTGATTCTCTTACTTTTTTTTTTAATTTTAGAGACAGGCTTTCACTCTGTCACCCAGGCTGAAATATAGCACTGTGATCATAGCTCACTGCAGCCTCAAAGTCCTGTGCTCGAGCAATCCTCCCATTTAAGTATGTACCACCACCCCGGCTAATTTTGTTGTTGTTTTTCAGAGATGGATGTCTTGCTATGTTGCCCAGGTTGGTCTTGAACTCTGGCCTCAATTGATCCTCCTGCCTCAGCCTCTCAAAGTGCTGGGATTACAGGTGTAAGCCATGACACCCAGCCGATTCTTTCCCTTATGTATGTTTTCAAAGTAACGATGTATTTCCTTAGCTTTTTTTTTTTTTTTTTTTTTTTTTTTTTGGTGGTGGTGGTTAAAAACACAAAATATAAAATTTACCATTTTAACCATTTTTAAGTGTACGGTAATGTTAACTACATGCACATTATTGCACAGCAGATCTCTAGAACTTACTCTTCTTGCAAAACAGAAACTTTGTATCCATGGAACAACTTTTTCCTCTTCTCCATCCCCTGCCAACCACCATTCTACTTCTGTTTCTAAGAGTTTAACTAATTTATATACTTCATATAAGTAGAATCATGAGGTGTTTGTCTTTTAGGACCTAGCTTGTTTCACTCAGCATGATATCCACAAGGCTCATCCATATTGTACTATATGACAGGATTTTCTTCATTTTATAAATGTTGAATAATATTCCACTGTATATATATGCCACCCAGTTATCTGTCCATAAACATTTCTGTTGATTCTGCCTCTTGGCTATTGTGAATAATGCTGCAATGAACACAAGTGTGCAGATATCTTTAAGATCCTGTTTTCAGTTCTTTTGGATATACACCCAGAAGTGGATTGCTAGATCATATGGAAATTTTATTTTTTATTCTTGTAGGAATCCCCATACTGTTTTCCATGGCAGCAGCACCATTTCACATTACTGACAACAGTGCACAAAGGTTCCAATTTCTCCACCTCCTCACCAACACTAGATATTTTCTGTGTTTGTTTGTATGTTTGTTTGTTTGTTCTGAGACAGAGTCTAACTCTGTGGCCCAGGCTGGAGTGCAGTGGTGTGATCTCAGCTCACTGCAACCTCCACCTCCCAAGTTTTTTAGTTCAAGCGATTCTCCTGCCTCAGTCTCCCGAGTAGCTGGGATTGCAGGTGTCTGCCACCACCCCCAGCTAATTTTTGTAATTTTAGTAGAGATGAGGTTTCACCATGTTGGCCAAGCTGAGATCCACCCGCCTCGGCCTCCCAAAGTGCTGGGATTACAGGCGTGAACCACCGCGCCCAGCCTGTGTTCATTTGTTTTTCACGGTGGCCATCCTGATGGGCGATGAGGTGATACCTCATTGTGGTTTTGATTTGCATTTACCTAATTATTGATGTTAACCATGTTTTCATATGCTTGTTGGCCATTTGTATATCTTCTTTGGAGAAATGTTTGTTCAAGTCCTTTGCCCATTTTTGAATCGGGTTATTTGTTTTTTTGTTGTTGAGTTGTAGGCATTCTTTATGTATCATGGATATTTTCTCCCGTTCCCTAGGTCATCTTTTCATTCTGTTGATTGTGTCCTTTGCTATGCAGAAGTTTATAAGTTTGATTGTAGCCCCAGTTGTCTATTTTTACTTTGTGCTTTTGTTATCATATCTGAGAAATCACTGCTAAATCCAATGTCATGAAGCTTCCCCCCTGTTTTCTTCTAGGAGTTTTATAGTTTCAGGTCTTACATTTAGGTCTTTAGTCCATTTAGAGTTAATTTTGGTATATGGTGTAGGGTAAAGGTTGAACTTCATTCTTTTGCTTGTGGATATCCAGTTTTCCCAACACTATTCTCTCCCCACTATGTAGCCTTGGTACCTTTGTTAAAGATCACTTGACCAAATACTTAAGAGTTTATATCTAGGTTCTCTATTCTGTTCCATTGGTCTATATGTCTGTTCTTACGCCAATACCACTCTGTTTTGATTACTGCATCTTTGCACAATGTTTTGAAGTCAGAAAGTGGGTTCTCTATTCTATTCCATTGGTCTATATGCCTGTTCTTATGCCAATACCACTCTGTTTTGATTACTGCATCTTTGCACAATGTTTTGAAGTCAGGAAGTGGAAGACCTCGGCTTTATTTTTCTTAAGATTGTTTTGTCTATTCAGGGTCTTTTGAGATTCCATATGAATTTTATGACTTTTTAAAAATCTGCAAAGACAAATGGCACTGGGATTTTGATAGGTATTGCAATGAATCTGTAACTTACTTTGGGTAGTATGGGATTTTAATTTTAACAATATTAAGTCTTCCAATCCACAAACATGAATATCTTTCCATTTATTTGCATCTAATTTCTTTCAGCACTGTTTTGTAGTTTTCAGTATATATATAAGTCTTTTGCCAACTTGATTAAGTTATTCCTAAATATTTTATTCTTTTTGATGCTATTTTAAATGTGATTGTTTTCTTAATTTCCTTTTTGAGTTGTTCATTGTTAGTGTTTAGAAGGCAACTGATTTTTGTGTGTTGATTTTGTACTTTGCAACTTTGTTGAATTCATTTATTAGTTCTAACCAATTTTTGGTGGAATCCTTAGGGTTTTCCACATATAAGACCATGTCATTTGTTAATGGAGATAATTTTACTTTTTTTTTTTTTTTTAAAGGCAAGTTTTCACTCTGTCACCTAAGCTGGGGCTCAAGTGATCCCCCTGCCTTAGCCTCATGAACAGCTGAGACTACAAGCATGCAACATCATGCCTGGCTAATTTTTTAAAAAGTTTTTTGTAGAGATAGGGTCTTGCTGTGTTGCCCAGATTAATCTTGAAATTCTGGCCTCAAGCAAGCAATCTTCCCATCTCAGCCTCCCAAAGTGTTAGGATTATAGGCATGAGCCACCGTACCTGGCCCTTCTTTTCCAATTTTCAGCTTTTATTTATTTATTTTTTGCCTAATTGCTCTGGCAAGGGCTTTTAGTAATATGTTGAATAGAAATAGCAAGAATGTATACACTTGCCTTGTTCCTGATCTTAGAAGAAAAGCTTTCAGTTCTTCACTATTGAATATGAAGTTAGCTGTGGCCTTTTCAGACATGGCCTTTATTAGGTTGAGATAATCTCCTTTCATTCGTAGTTTGTTGAGTGTTTTTGCCAAGTGCTTTTTCTATACCAATTGAAATGATAATATGGTTTCTGTTTTTCATTCTGTTAATGTGCCTCTCAACTTACAATGGTGTTACATTCTGACATGCCCATTGTAAATAAAAATCTAAATAAAAAATGCACCGAGGCCATGTGTGGGGTGGCTCACACTTATAATCCCAGCACTTTGGGAGGCTGAGTCAGGCAGATTGCTTTGAGCTGAGAAGTTCCAGACCAGCCTGGGCAACATAGTGAAACCCTATCTCTACAAAAAATTAAAAAAAAAAAAAATAGATGGGCATGGTAGCATGCACCTGTGAGGCTGAGGCTGGAGAATTGCTTGAACCTGGGAAGCAAAGGTTGCAGTCAGCCAAGGTCATGCCATTGCATTCCAGCCTGGGTAACAGAGTAAGACCCTGTCTGAAAAACAAAACAAAAAACCACACACAAAAAACGCATTGTAAACACCAGTAAACCCATCATAAAACAAAAAAATTGTAAGTCAAGTCATGATCAGTTGCAAACCATTTGTAGTACATTACACTGATTGATATTTATATGTTGAACCATCCTTGCTTTCCAGGAGTAAGTCAAGTCCCACTTGGCCATGGTGTATAATCCTTTTTTTTTTTTTTGGAGACAGAGTCTCATTCTGTTGCCCAGGCTGGAGTGTAGTGGCACGATCTCAGCTTATTGCAACCTCTGTCTCCTGGATTCAAGTGATTCTCCTGCCTCAGCCTCCCAGGTAGCTGGGACTACAGGTGCCTGCTACTACGTTTGACTAATTTTTGTATTTTTAGTAGAGACAGGGTTTTGCCATGTTGGCCAGGCTGGTCTTGAACTCCTGACCTCAGGTGGTCCGCTCGCCTCAACCTCCCAAAGTGCTTGGATTACAGAAGTGAGCTACCATGCCTGGCCGTATAATCCTTTTAATGTGCTGTTGAATTCAGTTTGTGAGTATTTTCATCCAGGATTTTTACATCAATATCCATCAGGGATATTGGTCTATAGTTTTCTTGTTGTATCTGTTGTGGTTTTGGTATCAGTGTAATGCTGGCCTCATAAAATGAGTTTAGTCTGGCTGTGGTGGCTCACGCCTCTAATTCTAACACTTTAGGAGGCTGAGGTGGGTGGATCACTTGAGTCCAGGAGTTCAAGACCAGCCTGGCCAATGTGACGAAACCCTGTCTGTACTAAAAATACAGATACAAAACTTAGCTGGGCTTGGTGTTGTGTACCTATAATCCCAGCTACTCAGGAGGCTGAGACATGGGAACTGCTTGAGCCTGGGAGGCAGAGGTTGCAGTGAGCTGAGATTCCACCATCACACTCCAATCTGGGTGACAGAGGGAAACTCTGTCTCAAAAAAA